TCATCTTCGGTTCGCTCAAAGACACTATTAGCTTTAAAAGCCAGGGGCTAAAGGGGTTCTCTCGACTGTATAGTATGCGTTATGCTACATACTGGCTAAGCTGGCTAGCACTGCCCCCTAAATCATACAGTCCAAAAATGGCATCCTGAAGATGTTTGACACTGCCTGGGCTTGAAGCTGTCTGCTTCAGAGATGGTTGAATGCCAAAACTTAGAATTGTTTTTAACCAGAATGACACTCCCAAAGAAACACTGTTTTTTTGTCTTCTCAGCACAAAAACATTTTGCAGAGCATGAACCTCTTTTATAGGTTTGCATATGTTTAGTTCAAATTCATAGTTTTACCCATAAAACTGCACCAATTTTACTGAACTTTATTCAGTTTCCAGTTGAACAAACATTCAACATGTCTGGATTTGATATTACTAAATGACAAAATTCCCATTGGCCGTTAACCAGTAGTTAATAAGCCTGCCGTCTTATAACTGAAGACGTGCTTGTCGACCGTCTACTCACCGAAGGGGCACTCCCTGGATTTTCCCCGTGCATTGGAGTCATTATAGTTTTGGTAAACAGCTTTTGGAAGGCTATGTTGTCAACGTCTCGGGGTATACAGGGCAACAGTGCGTCAACCATCCACGGGTTAGCATAACAAAGTTGCAGAAATCGTGTGAGGCCGATTCCACCACCAATACCAATGGATGCCTTTGAAGCCAGATACTCGACGGCCTCCCTAGTGTACTCCTCAGGGTACACTGAGTCACTAGACCCTGGTTGCGCATAACTGAATGAATCGGCGAGAAAGCGAGAAAACTCCACGTTTGTGCGAAGTCGACCGTCTCCGTCAATATCGAGGACATAGAAGGACATTGTTGCCCGTTCAGAGAAGGAGCCACGAAGCAGGCAGGATAGAAGAAGGATGAAGTCATAAGCGGTTATTGCGGCGGCGGCGGCCACGGATGGCCGACCATAGCGCAGCATTCGCGCGGCACTCCAGAGACCTTGAAGTAAGTCCTGACCAGTCATGGAGAAATTAGAGGCAAGGAAATCTTTCAGTTCGTCTTTTCGCATATCTCGAATTTGCCCGTTTGTTAAATGGAAGAAAATATGGAGGAGGATGCTGAGTTCGGGGCAGGTAAAATGTATCCGTGGATCTTTTCGGGCTTCTTCTAGACGCTGAATGATAGCCTGGCGAACAGTACATGTCGCCTTATATTGTGGATAGCGTTTTCTTTCCTCCTGCGTGCTAGTTTCGGCTAGGACGCGTTCGATGAAACGCGCTGGCTTATATTTTTTGCGTTGAGCGATCAGTTCCGGACCAGCGGGCGTAAAGACAGATGGAACAATCAAATTCCAGTTGTTTCCTCGGTACTTGATTGTGCAGACTGAGGTTCTTCGGCTTCCTGTGGGCATCATCAGATGCCACGTTTCTGTGGTCTTCTGTTACATAATTTTGCAGGTTCAAATCACCTTAATATTGATCCGTCTAGCCAGGTAAACAAAGTATGTTGTCCGCATAAAGAAATATACATATAACGCCTCGGCTGATTGAAAGCAGGAGGAGATTATGTGAGGCCGAAATAAGCTTCATTTTCCATCTGGAGGATTTCCCAGTCGAAATTAAAGGTGGGAATTTTGCTTTACGAATTTTTTTCTGTAGAGTCATAGCCGAAATCCATGCCACTAAAGTATTATGTGGAAAGACAAAAAAGGCTTAAAATGGTTCTTTTACCGGTAACGATTACTTAAATGGTTCTATAAACAGGATATTAAAAAAATGAACCGCCCACAGTACAGGTGGCTTTACGGCAAATTGCAGGGAAACTAGAGTTAGCTCAAAGGTAGGGTTAAGTTTAGGATCAGGTTATGTTGAAGCCTGCGATTCTGATAAGGGTGAGTGTTAACTACAATGTTGGTTTTTAGGGTTACGATAAAGATATGGGCTACGGTTTAGGTTTATTCTAGCGCTAGTGCTAGGGTTAGGACAGAGGAATTTCTACTCTGCTTGGAATTATACTCAGAGCCAAATGTATTACGTGGGTGGGACGCTCCTATCCCTGTGTTCGATTAAGCGGTCATATGAGCAGCCCTCATCCTTTTACCTATTGAGTTTGACGCCTGATGCACGAGTTATATATATATATATGGATATTTAAGGGTTACAGGCAAGAAATGCCCTTGAGGACCCTATTAATGTAAC